TGCATCATAGACGTACGAGCGACGTCCATGACCATGCCAATGCGGCGCTCTGCAATCCCATTTTGCTGCGGTGAGTCCGGAAGCGTGAAGGTCTGGCGGATGCCTCGCGCACGACAGAAGGCACGCAGAAGGCCAGAGGAGAACTCTGCGCCTCTGTCCGAGTGCAGACGCAACACAGGAAAGTCCGAGCCAAAGCTCTGCCTGAGCTGGAGACGAGCTGCGCGGATCCAGTCGATCAGCACCTCAGTGACATCACCCTTGCTGCGCAAGGGGAAGACTGTGGTGTAACGGGAGTAGTCGTCAACCACCAACAGGAAGTAGCGCTCGTGACCGAGTCCACGGACGCGGGCAGGGCCCCACACGTCCAAGAGAAGTGTCTGCAACGGAGCCTCTGTCGGAGGAAACTGGGAGGAGTGAGGGGCAGCACGCTGGCGCCCCTCGACACAGGGGACACAGGCAGGGCCAGGGCCCTGAGGAAGGGGAGGGAGGGACCGGGGGAGACCAGACACAAGAAGACGGGAGGCCATGCCTCTGAGCCGAAGCAGGGAGGGGTGGCCAAGGCGGTGGTGCCAGAGGAGAGTCTCGTGAGACAGACGGCGACACGAACAGGGGGCAGACTCAGGACCAGACCTGGACGCTGCAGCAAACACCTGACCAGACGAAGGGACTCGACCAGACTCAGCACCGGGAGGAGAAGCAGTGGTCAGTGTGTACAGGCTCGACCCTGGCTGACGTCTAAACGTAGCCAGGTGGCGACCTGTGCTAGCCTCTGTGCAGTGTGTCACCCGCTGACGAGCAGGAGTGAACTGGTGGACCCCCACATCCTGTAGGTCAGCACCACTCACCAGGTTCGTAGAGAACGAGGGGAGGTAAAGACCAGTCAGGGTGCCAGAGGGAGCCGCCGGACACGGGAGGACTGTGGAGAAACGAGACAGGACAGGACCCCCAGAGGGGTCAGCCAGGGACACCGCAACCGGCCGACTAAGCGGCGTGAGAGTGGTGCGGTCCCGAAAGAAGGAGCGAGACGCCCCAGAGTCAAGGGTGAAGGTGTGGGAGGCAGAAGCCGACACAGTACCTGAGAGGGCAGACTCACTAGCACCTGAGAGCACAGACGCACTGGCACCTAGAGCAGCAGCCTCACTGGCACCTGACACTGCAGTACCAATGCCCGGGTCGGGCGGAAAGCACCGGTAACACTCACCATCATCACTAACAGTCACAGCATACATGGCAGCAAGGATGGCATCAAAGTCAAGATCAAACACAGCTACACCAGCCCTAGACAGCTCTCCCCAGCGGGGGATCTCAGAGGCCTCCGGAAACTGCTGGCGCCAAGCGTCGGTCAGGCGGGCAAAGCAGCGGCGAGCGGTGTGGGTGCCCCCACACTGCTCACCCGCGCGGTCGCCGGTGCGAAGGACGTAGGCGCAGGGACCGAACGCCCCACCACGCTGACGCTGCGAGTACCACTCACGGAGCTGCTGAGGGGCGGGAACGTCGCGAGAGCGCTGCTGCTGCTGCTGCTGCTGCTGCTGGCGCTGACCACCCCCAGTGCCACTCCTCTGGGACGAGCCACTCCGACCACCTCCACCACCGCCACCCCCGCCTCCGCCGCCACCGCCGCCACCGCCACCCTCGCCCCCGCCGCTCCCACTGCCTCCTCCGCCACCACCTCCGCCGCCACCTCCGCCTCCACCGCCGCCACCAGGACCTCCACCCCCGCCTCCACCCCCACCGCCACCCCCACTCCCCCCGCCGCCCCCACCTCCTCCGCCACCGCCCCCGCTAGCTCCACCCGCTCCCTTGCCCCCCTTGCTCCTGCCAGAGCGGCGCCTACCGCTGGGGGCAGACGCCGCACCGACCGACTCTAAACCAACGAGGTCGGCCGCACCAGCAGAGGCGACAGAGGGTAGCAGGGGGGAAGGAGAACACCCCTCAAAGATGGGGGTGCGCGGGTCACCACGAGAGGCCCCTACAGCGACTATGCTCTTCTCGGCCGCTAGGAGGGACTTCTTAAGGAGGTCGACAGTGAGGGTGGTGGGACAGACAGAGAGAAACTGGTCCCTAACAGCACGAAGGGACTCAGGGAGACGGGTGACTAGAAAGTAGAGGGTGATGTACATGGGAGGGGGGTTTTCGGCGAGGAAGGCAGCAGGAAGCGCAGCTCGGTAGCGAGTGTCGCTAGCGCGAAGGTGGGTAAAGAGGTCAGTGACTGTGGGAAAGGCAGCAAGGTCAGGGAAGAGGAACGGTAGCATGAGGCGGCTCAGTGTAGCAGTGGAAGGGGAGGAGTAGCGCGCCACTACAGCGTCGTACAAGGCCTGAGCGGTCTTGCACTGACTAAAGTGTGCACGCTCGGAGGAAGGGAGGTGGCGACGCACAGCAAGACGTGCAGCAGCATCGCGTGTGGCCCACTTGGAGCGAGCAGTGGGGTCAGCATCAGCAGGAGGGGCAGGGACAGCGCCAGAGACAAAGTCAAAGAGAGAAACCTCATCGATCGCATCGCATAGAAAGTACAGCTGTAGGTCCTCAATCCAGACAGCAAAGTCAATGGCGCGACCCTCAGCGTCAAAACTCAGGACACTGGGGGTGGCCATTGTAGCAGCTGACAGTCTCACCGGGCAGGAAGGGTCGGGTAGCAGAACGACACAGCAACACGGCAGCACAGCAGCTGCGCCGGTCCAGGAGCCCCACAGGAGCAGAAGATCGGCTCCTCGGGCGGCTCGGGCGGCTCGGGCGGCTCGGGCGGCTCGGGCGGCATGGGCGGCTCGGGCAGCTCGGGCGGCGTGGGCGTCTCGCGGACGGCTCGCGGGCGGCTCGCGGGCGGCTCGCGGGCGGCTTACAGGCGGCAGCACGGGCGGCTGGTGTTGTTCGTGGACAGCTGCACGGGCGGCTGGGGCGGCGAGCGGGCGGCTCACGGGCGGCTGCACGGGCGGCCGAGGCGGCTCACGGGCGACTGGGGCGGCTGCACGGGCTGCTGGGGCGGCTCGCAGGCTGCTCACGGGCGGCTGCACTGGCGGCCGCACGGGTAGGTGCACGGGCGGGTGCACGGGCGGCCGCACGGGTAGGTGTACGGGCAGGTGCACGGGCGGGTACACGGGCGGGTGCACGGGCGGGCACACGGGCGGCTGCACGGGCTGCTCGTCGGGCGGCGCTAGGGCGGCGCGTGGGCGGCGCGTTGGGCAGCGCGACGGGCGGCGTTAGGGCGGGCAGCGGGCAGCGCGACGGGCGGCGCGTTGGGCAGCGCGACGGGCGGCGCTAGGGCGGCTGCACGGGCAGCGCGACGAGCTGCGCTAGGGCGGCGCGTTGGGCGGCGCTAGGGCGGCGCGTCGGGCAGCGCGTCGGGCGGCGCTAGGCTGGCGCGTCGAGCGGCGCTAGGGCGGCGCTAGGGCAGCGTGTCGGGCAGCGCTGTGGGCGGCGCGTCGGGCGGCTAGCGCTAGAGCAGGCAGCGGACGGGCGCTAGGGGCGGCGCTCACGTTCGAGGGCGGGCGGTGCGCTAGCAGCTAGGGCAGAAAAAAAAAAAAAAAAAAAAAGGACGTTTTGAGGTGGTGGGCCCTAAGCACAGGTCCCACAGGGGAACCTGCTCGATACCATGAGAAGAAGTGAACGAGAATGAATGAATTATGAATGAAGTGAGTACAAATATGAAACCCTAATTGGGTTGTACCCCCTATGGGATACCCCACTATAGCCTACACAAATAAGTAAGCTATAATGTTCTGACAGCGAGAATCGCACTAAGGTGTCAAAACGAGTACAAAATGTGAGCGAAGGCATGAGCGAACATTTATACGCGAAACATGCAAACGGTAACGCGGTGCGTGCGAGCTAGCTAGTGCTATGCTGGAAGCGAGGCTCGGGCTAGTCCCGAAGCGTAGGCCGATACGGCCAGGCCAGCAGTGCGAGGTTTGGTGAAACAGTGCACGCGAAGTCGGCGAAGCCCCGTTAGCAGTAACGGGCGAACAACGGCTGCTGCTGTACGTGATGTTGCAGGGCGCGCTAAGAAATATAGAGAAAATTCCTTACAGTGTATCGTTTACTACAAGCATGCTTTTCCTAAGGGGGTGTGACATTTTCTAACAGCGGCTAAAATCCGGACAACCGTCCGAGAACGGTTCAGATTCCGAATCTCGGGCAGTCCGGGTCCAACGTCCAGACTAAACCTCGTCCGACGTTGTTTATGAAACATTTTCAACCTGACGAAATTCAGAGGGTTCGCTAGGTTGTAACCATGATCACGATGAGATTGCGACAAAGGTAACACTGAAGCGACTGAAAGACTCGAATCGTAGACCAATAAAAATGCTTTACTGTTACGTCCGTCCGCTTATCGAACTGTAATCGTCCGGTCGAGTTGGGAAGGCAATTCACGCAAAATGTTCCATGATCGGTCCGATCGTTAACGATGTCGCAAGTGGTCTAGCGAGGAAACTGACGAAGATAAACGACAATGGTAACCGCTAAAAAGTTCGGACGACTGCTCATCCGGACGGGCTGAAGTAAAAAATGTAACACGCCCTAAAGAACTGCCTAGATGTGCCACAGTGAATAGCTGTCCTGGAATCTTGGAACCCCTTGGTACTGCCCTCAGCCAAGTATGATTTCCCGCGCACTGCCAGCCCAGAGTGACAACACTAGTCCTGTCAGAAAAGAGCGGAAGAACCTAAGGGCTTCCGTCAGCAGCAGCGCCTTCAGAGAATCTGCTCCTGGAAAGCGCCCTCCGCTAGCGCTTCAGGTCTCCGCGTGATCGTGTGCTTCCGCTGGCTCGGTTTTCTTCCCCGTTTTCCCCAGCGTCCGTCTGCGCCAGCTGAGATCCACTCTCCACATTCGCTGGATTCCTTGGTTTCTCTCCCAGCGAAGAAATTCAGTGCAGGAAATCAGGAATTCGGTGTCTTCTCCAGAAAAGCTTACCTTGGGCAAGCCTCCTATTTTGCTCTTTGTTAGAATCCGTCAAATTCCTTGTCAGCATATCTGCTGTACCCTTCGGTACCTCCGTCTCCGCCAGTATGAGCAAATTCGACACCAACCCATTCGATGAGGGAGGCGAGAGCAGCAGCAACGCTGTGAGTGATCGAGATAAAAGATGGTCACTGTACTATGCTGAACAATCCTGTTTTATCAGCAGCTTGCGTTTCCGTTGCGTTCTTCGAGATTCGGTGTTGATCGTCTGCGAATGTCTGGAGGCTTGAACAGTCATTGGAGCATCACGCTGAAATCATCGTCTTATTGCTGTCCTCTCGTCCGCTCCTCCCACCCTCCTGTGTCTATATTCAGGCTCCTGTTCCGAAGTCGGGACTCGGTTCTTTTTTTGACAAAGTAAGTTAATGTCTCCTGTTCCGAAGTCGGGACTCGGTTCTTTTTTTGACAAAGTAAGTTTATGTCTTACGACGCTCAGCTTAGTTTTAGCATGTTGTTTGTGTGACCTACTGCCCCTCTTACCTGTGATCACTCATTTTTCGATTGACCATTGTGATAGACAACCCCATGAGTGTCCGATCGCCGTCTTGTAATGCATAAGTGACAAACTTCAATCTGTTCCTTGCAGGCTGGAGCGGCCGTGTCATCTATGGCGGCGTCGTTTGACAGCGTCGCGTTGACGCCTAAGGTTCGTCCTCTCCCCGCTTCTCTCTCCCCGCTTTATCCCTACTTGGCAACCCGTTCTCTCGTATCTTGGATTCGTTACGACATCGTTTCCTTGTCTCTTGCCCTCACCGGCATGTGCCTCTGATGGCCACAGGACATTGTGGAGAAAGAGACGCAGCTTGCTGCGAGAGAACAGGAGCTCAAGCGAAGAGAGGAGGTCAGTTGGTTACGCACTTATCTTTGTCAGTTCGTCCCTGCATACTCCGTTGCTTGTTGCATTTGCGAAGGGAACGATAAGTATGTGCTGTCAGCTTCGGTTGTCATGTCCCGTTTCCGACTAATTCCTTCTCCTTTTCTGTTTTTTCTCCTCCTCCGTTTCCTTCCTCTCGCGCGCTGCGTCGGGTTCACGGTGCCTGTGCGGGGAACGCGCGTGGCCACGTGTCTGGACACCACACATCAGGAGCTCACCCGACGCGAAGCATGTAAGTCACCGTTTTGCTCTGAACCTGCACCCCCTCAAATTCGCTCTGTCCGTATCGCTCCAATTTTTCTGTCTCTCTGCATCTCCACCGTAGTCCCGTTGGTAAAACGCCGCACCATACCCCGGACTCTTCTTACGTGCGCTGGCTTTTGCTGCTTTCCTAATTTTCCACGCCCCTCTCTCCATCCCTCTCGCGCGTGCCTCTCTCCTCTCGCCCGTACCAGCACTGGGGATCCAGCGCAACAACTTCCCGTCGTTCTTCCCCCTCATCCAGCACGACATCTCCGCGGACATCCCCGCCCACGTGCAATACATGCAATACCCCGCCTTCGCCTCCTGGCTCGGTGCGTCGTCTCGCCCTTTCCTTGGACTGCTCACTCGCGACTTCCCTCTCTCGTCTCTCTTTCTGACGTGTTTCTTTCCGCTTGTTTGATCTATCACGTTTCCACCACTCTCTCATCTCGTCCCAACGCCCTTTCAACTTTCCCCCTTCCCGTCCACTCCTCTGCGCGGCTCTTGGCTCATCGCCCTTCCCCTTTCCTCCCTCATCTCCCCCACCCACCCACCCACACACACCGCGCGTGCAGGCATCATTCTGTGCCTGGTGTTCAACCTGGTCGCAGTGATCGTGTCTTGGGTCCTCGGCGCTGTCAGCTCCACCTCCGGTCTGTATTGCCTCGCTCGTACCCCTCACTGCTTCCCTTCCAGGCTTTCCATTGCTGAAACCACAATGTTTCGTTTGGACATTCCAGAGCAATAATAGCCATCACTGGACAGCTATGCAGTGCCCCATTTACAGAGAAGCTGATTCTTACCAAAACCACGGCACCTTCTCCTTTCCCAAACTCCTCCCCCCCTCTCTCCCCCCTCGCTTCCTTCCCCTCCTCCTCGGCCTGCCCTCCTCCCCCTCCTCACCCCACTTCGTCTCACCATGGCGTGGGCGTGCGGGCACCAGGCATGGGTAACTTCTTCCTGGCCATCATCTATGGCGTGCTGGGCATCCCCCTCTCCTACATCCTGTGGTACCGCCGCCTCTACAACTCACTCAAGTACGTCGCCTTCGTGCTGGAAGCCAACGAGCCTATGTGCTCTTCCCAAGCCTGTTGCTCACGAATTTTCCTGCTGCTACATCTCCTTCCTGTTCTCAGCAATTGCCTTACTCCTATTTCGTTCTTCCATTGTACTGGGCCTTTGATTGCTCAAGTTATTCAAGTTCACCCCTTCTGTTTGTTTTTCGCATCCTGTTCAATTCCTCCTTCAATTCGCATTCTCTTGGTGATGGCTCACAGGAAGGACAGTGCGCTTGGCTTTGGAATCTTCTTCCTTGGTTACCTGGTGAGTGGAACACTCTGTGGGCCTCACATCTCATTCTGCCTGTACATGTGCACGACACCCCATCCCATCAGTGTCAGAAATCCCTTTAACAAGCGATGTTTCGCTGTCAATCCTGGTCGCGTGGTCTATTGTTTTCCCAGAGTTTGCAAGTCCCCACAACGCCCCAAGGCTCTTAACCACTCTCTGCTGATGGTCGTGTCAACTCCCCTGTCCCCCTCTTCTCCCATGTCCTCCTTTGTCCGCCGCCCTCAGATCCATTGTGGCTTCTGCATCTTCGCCTCAGTCGCTCCGCCCATTTTCTTCAGTGGCTTGGCCCTCACGTGAGTTCCATGGACCACCAGCAATATCCACCTTCCTTCCCGCTGCTTTTAAAAGCTCATGCTATTCTCATTTCACAGTTGGTCCTGCTCCTAATGATGCCAGATATGTTTCTGCTCTGTTTGCCCTTCCCCTTCCACCAGCGGAGTGCTCTCCACCATCTTTGTCTTTGGTAAATCCGTTACAACTGGGGTAAGCACCCTCCGTACTCATCACAGCTGCTTTGTTCCTTGTGATTCGCTCGTACTAATCCCACACTATTACCCCCCTTGGCCGTTTCACGATGGCCATGTACTGTCTCCACCGTTTGCCCATCAGATCTTCTTCGCTGTTGGTACAGCTCTCTTCATTGGGGAGTCCTGCCTGTCCATATACACCCTCGGGGTATGTTCCACCCCCCTTCACACATGTACTTCTTTCCACCACAGTGCTGTCTCACATTCTGCTCGTCCTGTCAACCCGTGCATCCCCGCCTAATCTTTGCTGCATTCTCTGCTTGCATTTCCTCTGGTGCTGTATGCTCTGCTCCTGTGCACCTCTAATTGATGATGCTTCTCTTTGCTCCTCCCGCGTTGTGCTCAGCTTGTGTATGCTTACTTCCGAGGGGAGGGCAAGAGCAACCAGTTCCGGCGGGAAGCAGCAATGGCTTCAGCGGGTATAGGGAACACCAATGTGTAAAAGCACAAGACAATTGCCCGTCTCATCGCCACTGTGTCCTGCCATATCCAGTAGTAGTTCTCCTATTACTGTACCCTGCTGTGGGTAGATAAGATTCAGTCAATACACGTTGTTAATATGAGCGCCAGTCTAGCAGATAGCAATCCGTTATGGCATGTGAGTTTGGTACATGACTGCGTTTGTGGATTCTATGAGCGTGTTCCTATGGCCTCATATCAGGGAACCTCGTATCAAGAATGCTGTTTTTGCCTGGTAAAACTAGCAAAAGGTTTTGGGTTTAGGGGAATTTTCAGTGTGAGCCTGATATGAGGTTATCTTGATACGAGGTTAGGAACACGCTCTATGCCAGTTCCAATGTCCAGCTTGGTATCACTTGTAGAGATGAGATGAGAAGCTAGCAGTACACAACTCATGCTTTGCCTTTCACATGACTCCACCACACCACAGCAGTTGAATGTCTGCATTGATTGCTGGAGAGTTTTTGCACTCCCCTCCACAGCATACAGAAGCAACGAGAAGGGCCAGAAACGAGAGAAAGATCTGAATGGAGCAAGAGAGTACATCAGAGATCACAGTCCGACCAAAATATTGGACTTGCATTAATTGGCCACATGGTGGCAATGCCTTACTACCTGCTGTCCTGGAACACACTACCGTACCACTCGGGGCCTACGTTGGTTGGTACTTTAGGACTACCCAATCTTTCTAGCGGCCTTTTGCTCTGCACACACCCAACCTCTCTCCACAAATCAATGTGCTGTGCGTTCACTTGCTCATCGTTCTATCTACCCCTCCTCTTCCTCATCCTCATCTTCCTCGTCTGATTCATCTTCGTCATCATCCTCATCGTCCTCCTCCTCCTCCTCCTCTACCTCAAACTCCTCATCCTCTTCATCCTCATCCTCTTCCTCTGCATCTGCCCCCTCCGTTTCCTTTCCCGCTTGACTCCCACCGCCTGCACTGCCCACCAACGCAGCGGCCGCCGCAGCAGCATCACCACCACCGCCGCCACCATCGCCGCCCTCCGCTATCCTCACGCCAGTGCGCCTAGACTCCCTGCCACTGCGAGTCCTGCTCGCCACGATATTATCCAGGTCCACTGTCCCCCACGGCTCCGCCACTATCCGCACGTCCGCGCCTTCCCCCGCATCACCTTCCGCTTCCGCCTCCGCACCCTCGCGCGCGCCTTGCGACCCCTCCCCCTCCCCCGCGCGCCAATCCCGCGAAGCCCTCACAGCAGCCACGGCGGCGCCGTCGCTCCCATCATCGCTGCTGCTTCCGCCGCCGCCGCCGCCGCTAGAATCGCTACCGCGCGCGCGCGAGGGCCGCTCGCTCTCCGCCTTGCCCTTCCCCTTGGCGTCCGCCGCCGCCACTGCCTTCCCCTTGTCTCGCCTCTTCGCCTCCTGCGCGCCTCCCCCGTCGATCCGATCGCTTCCGCCCGCCCCAATCTCCGCCTTCCGTTTCTGCCCACTGTTCCCCGCCGCTGCGCTCTCTGCTGGGATGTCTGACGCTTTCTCCGCCATGGCGAGAGTCCGGAAAAGGAGAATGGAGAATAATATCGAATTTCCAGCAACCTTAGATTGGGAGCAAGTCTAAGGTGAATGGTCACCAGAACGTATTTGCGGCAACCTCGGCCACGAGAAAATGCTGCTGAGACTCAAGAACGACGAGAAAATGCTCCGAAATCCACCTTCCGCCACGAAATGCATGTGGCGCACTAGGAACCGTCAGGCGAAGTCTCTTGTTGGAGTCGCGGGGCAGGGAAGAATGGGAGTTCTGTAACTTCAGTAGTACCCCTTCTTTTGCTGGTACAAACTACACTGAACGTGTATTTGTTCGTGCAGAAAAATATAAGTTTCACAACAGAACTCTGTCCAAGTTGCCAGGTGTTATTCATGCGAAAGTTCGTTTCTTTAATTGATAACTAAACATGGAGGAAAGTTCTTAACAGTACCAGTCCGACCTTCCCCTCCCCTGCTCACATTCCGCTGCTGCGCTAGGCGCTCGCGCCACCAGCAGATCTCATCTGCAACTGCGGAGCCACTCCCTGTGGGCGCATAGTTCCTGCAGCTGACTGGCGGGTACAGGAACACTGTCGCCTTTATGCACAGCAGCTTGCCCAATATGGCCTGGTGGGGTGTGAGGGGGCGGGAGGGAAGAGGAAGGAAGAAGGGGCATACATGGGAATATGAGTTTCTGCAGTTGAGTGGCAGGTACAGGAACACTGCTGCCTTCATGCACAGCAGCTTGTCCAATATGGCCTGGTGTGAGCGAGGGAGGGCAGGGAGTGGAGAGGAAAGGGGGTGCATGGGAAGGGAGAACGAGCATACGTGGGGATGTGAGTTCCTGCAGTTGAGTGGCGGTTACAGGAACACTGTCGCCTTTATGCACAGCAGCTTGTCCAATTTGGCCTGGTGGGGTGGAAGGGAGAGGGGGGGGAGAAAAGGGGAAAAGGGGATGGTGGCGCATGGGAAGGGAGAACGGCATACATGGGGATGTGAGTTTCTGCAGTTGAGTGGTGGTTACAGGAACACTGTCGCCTTTATGCACAGCAGCTTTACAAGGTCCTGAAAATGGAGGGCGGGGATTGAGATTAGCCACGGGGGTGGGAAGACGGCGAGGGGCGCATGTGCGTGGGAGTGGGGAACAGGCACGGGAGGGGGAGGGAGGAACAATTGGCTAACCAAAAGTAAAATGGGGATTGGGAGAAGACAGAACAAAGGAGAGGGATCTGGAGTGGGATGGAGACGTATGGAGGAAAGTACGGATGAGATGAGAGAATCAACACACGAATGTTGTATTACAGCTGTATTGAAGAAGGAGAGAAGGACGTACCTGCACCCCAAGATCCACCTCTCTTAAACCGGGGAGAAATGACTCGAGCCGAGTGGGCTTGAGCAGGGCATAGAGCTCCTGAGAGGGATGGGAGGGGTGATAGGTTGGCACGGGTGGGACCGGGGCACGGTCGACAGAGAGGAGAGTGGACGAGGGACGGAAGAGGGAACGAGGGGGACAGCTGCTTCATGCTGAAAGCCACAAATAATGACCTGACCAACCCTGCATGCTATTGGAGGGGTGATTCTGGGCTGGAGTGTTCATGGAGGGACGGTGAGTGAAGGGAGGTGGTTCTGACCCTGACGGCATATTGCAACGTCCTGGGTGGTGCTGGTCAAATCTTGCTGCGCCTGATAGCCACCTGGTGGCACCACCGGCAATGTGCATGCGTGGAACGAGACAGGGAGGGAGGAAGGGAGGGAGGGATGCGCAGGCCGAGGGAGGGAGCAAAGGGAGAGAAGAGAGTGAAGGATAGAAGGGGCAAGGGAGAGAGTGCTGGAGATGGATGGATGGAGGGGAGTGGGTAAGAAAAAAAGCTTCAGGAACTCCTTCAAAAATATACAGCTGACCGGAATCAGGGCAACCTGACTTCCTTTCCGCGCCCGCCATTCCCCTCACCCCGCATAACCCCCCGCATTCCCGCCGTTCACATATTACCTCCATCCCGGCCCCACTGCTCACTTGTTTTCCGGAGTCAGAACAGTAGCCATAAACGCAGGAACCTTTTCCCCTTCTCCCTCCCTCCCTCCCCCTCCCTCCCTCCCCCTCCCTCTCCTCCGCTCCCTCCGCTCCGCCCTCCCCCGGCATCGCCCCTCTCTCCCTCTCCTGCAGCGGCCACGCAGACGTGTCTCTGAGCAGCGCAGGCCCTGCACGCACAGGTGCATCTGCACACACAGGTGCATCTGCACACACAGGTGCATCTGCACACACAGGTGCATCTGCACACACAGGTGCATCTGCACGCACAGGTGCATCTGCACACACAGGTGCATCTGCACGCACAGGTGCATCTGCACGCACAGGTGCATCTGCACGCACAGGTGCATCTGCACGGGCGACCGGTGCATCTGCACGCACAGGTGCATCTGCACGCACAGGTGCATCTGCACGCACAGGTGCATCTGCACGCATAGGTGCATCTGCACGGGCGACTGGTGCATCTGCACGCACAGGTGCATCTGCACGCACAGGTGCATCTGCACGGGCGACCGGTGGCTCATCATCGCCTTCTCCATCCGCCAGTGCGCTGCCACGTACCGCCTTCCGCCCAGGTGCTGGGCTGTGAAGGAGGAGGCTAGTCGGTGCAGGTGGGGGGCGTATGCTAGGTGCTGCTTCGCTTGCTCCGCCTGAAAGTGGGGGAGGAAGGGAGGGAGGGAGCAGGGAGAGCAGAAGTGAGGGAAGAAGAGTGGGAACGGAGGGGGAGGGAGGGAAAGATGGGAAAGGTGTGAAGAAAAAGGGTTGGGAGAGAGAGAGGGGTGTAGGTACATTGGCGTGGCTCAATCAAGAGTAGGCTTGGTTGCAGCGCCCTAAGCACAAGGTGTGAGTGAACTTCATGAGCACAGCCACCTCCTCCGGCACCCAACACCCCAGCTACACAATACATTCTCTCCTCATTCCCGCACCCACATGCACTTGCATACCTACCCACACACTCACACACACCCACCAGCGGTTACAGGCAGCCCCGGCACACGGTGTGGGTGAACTGGATGAGCACTGCCAGCTCCTCGGGCAAGCGCAGGTGAACACGCACACACAACCCGCACACCCCAGCGGTTGCAGGCGCCCTAAGCACGCGGTGTGCGTGAACTTCATGAGCACGGCCAGCTCCTCGGGCAAGCGCAGGTGGTCTGCTCGCGGGGGCACCCAGCGCAGCCACGCGCGGTCGTCACAGCTCGTGGTGCAGTAGAGGGGCGAGGAGGGCGAGAAGGCCAGGGCGTAGAGAGATGAGTTCCAGGAGGAGGGTAGGTGCGGGGAGGAGGGAAATGGAAGCTTCGTTTTTGGCACCAAGGCGGTCTGGTGGTTGTGGGAGGGGGCGGGTGAGGCGGGGGATTGGGGGGAGATCACAGAGCGAGAGGGATCACAAGAGGGGGGGGAGAAGTGCGGGAGAGGGGTAGCAGAGGGAGAGGGGTTTGGGGGCGTTGCGGGATGTGTTGCATCTGGTGCAATGGGATGTGTCCCCTCAACTCGCCTCCGCGCCCTCCTCTCCCTTCTCCCCCTCCGCCTCCTTCTCCTCCTCCTCCCCGTTTCCCCGCGTCCCCCTCCGCCTCCTCCGCGCCCGCTCCCCCTTGCCCCTCCCAAGCGGGCACTACTGTCCGCCAGAGATACTCCTCACGCATCCACGGCACGAACCGCCCCATCAGCACCGTGTCAAAATACGCGCACGCGGGGAGCATGCCACGTGGCGGGTTGTTGCCGCCGATGCGGTTGCTGCGCACACGTGGCAGCACGAGCGTGCGCCCCCAGTGGCGCGCGAGAGCCATGGCTTCCGCCAGGTGGAGGCGCGCCTTGCTCAGCTGCTCCCAGAGATTCCCCACGGCCAGGTACCGCGCGCATGGCGCCGCGGCTGGCGGAGGAGGGGGAGAAACGTGCGGGGGGAGAGGAGGGAGGGAGGGGAAGGGGGAACAGGGGGAGCCGCGCTTTGCTCAGCTCAGGAGATTCCCGAAGGCGAGGTACCGCGCGGATGGCGCCGCGACTGGGGGAAGGACGCGGAGGAAGGGGCATGGGGAGGGGGAGATGGGGGGAGCGGGAGTGAGTGGGGGAAGCAAGTGCAGGCGCTTTAAAAGAGGAGGTGTGAGAAGGCGCACATTCTGAAGGTTCAAGAATGTCATATACGAGAGAGATGGACAATGGGTCCCAGATGACGCGTCGTCATTATTCGGCAGTGGAAGGTGAGGGGGAGTACAGGGATCGAACGAAGTCGAGTACATGGCGGCCTGCGACTCACGGCCAGGTACCGCGCGGATGGCGCCGCGGCTGACGGAGGAGAGCGGGAAAGGGGAACAGGGGGAGCCAGGTGGAGGCGCGCTTTGCTCAGCTCAGGCAATTCCCGAAGGCGAGTACCGCGCGGATGGCGCCGTGGCTGGGGGGACGACGCGGAGGAAGGAGCAGGGGGAGGGGGGAAGAGGGGGAGAAGGGGGGAGCGGGAGTGAATGGGGGAATCAGGTGTTCTAGCGGAGGGAGAAGGGGGTGGGGGAGGGAAGAGGGAGCTGGATAGCGCATGAGGAGGTGAGTGAGAGTAGGCGCGCATCCGCAGAAGAATCCATGAGGAATCCAAATCGCCATTGCTTGCCACACGAGGATCGTTCCGCGGATCCATGAGGAAAGGAGAGGGGGGCGGAGGGGGAGTACAGGGATCGAACGACGTCGAGTACATGGCGGTCTGCGACTCGTCGCACTCGAACGCGCTGCCTTGCTGCGACGGCCGCCCCGCTGCGACGACGACGGCGACGCCGGCGAAGCCCGTGTGCGATCGCGGCGAAACTGTCAACGTCCCCGCGACGGCTGTCAGAAGTAGTAGCAGTAACGCATTAGTAGGCGGCGCAATAGGCAGCGCATTAAGTAACGCATTAGGCAGCGCACTAGGTAGCGCATTATGTATTAGCACTCCCCTACATCGGTGACTAGTAGTATCGCGTCGACCCTCTCTACCGTGTTTCGTGCGATCGCTCGCGACAGCGCGAAGAGCGATTGTTACTGCCATGGCTCTCTGGCTCACTCGCACGGTCGGGTTTCGTCCAGATCAAGGTCGCTAGGAACGCTGAGGGCGGGTCATTCTCGCTGGTTCACAACAGACTTGGAATCACTCATTCTGCTTTCGTGCGGACGGAAGGGACGCCTTCCGCTTGTGCCCACTGCTCTCCACCGCTGCGCTCTCTGCCCAGATGTTTGACGCTTTGTCTGCCATGGCTGAGAATTCAGAAACGGAGAATGGGGAGGGAACGGAATGGCAGTTCGTCAATGCAAATCACCGATATAAACTGTTTAGACTCCTTATGTGAACCAAGTCTGATTATCCTGATACATGTTCATGTGCGGGATTTCTTTGTATACATTAAACTTCCATGCATACCATCACACCTGTATTCTCTTCAGTAATTATCCCAGAGGAAGCGTACTGTAAGGAATTTTCTCAGGCATTCCTTACGGAGCCGACTACATCGCGTACAGCAACAGCCGACTGTTCGCCCGTTACTGCTAACGGAACTTCGCCGACTTCGCGCGCACTGTTTTGCCAAACCTCGCACTGCTGGCATGGCCGTATCGGCCTACGCTTCGGGACTAGCCCGAGCCTCGCTCCAGCATAGCACTAGCAAGTTCGCACGCACCGCGTTACCGTTTTGCATGTTTCGCGTATAAATGCTCGCTCATGCCTTCGCTCACATTTTGTACTCGTTTGACACCTTAGTGCAATTCTCGCTACCTCGATTCATTGCACCCGTAACACTTGGTTATCAGAGCCCCTTTCTTTCGGACCGCGCATCTCCGCACACCAGGAAATCAACTTTTGATTTTTCACTCGAAGGGACTCACGCACCTTAGCCCCTAGGAGCCGCTGTCCTCGCGTTCTCTCGTAAACGCGTGCAGCCACGACTGCGCCTAGACTAAGACGAGCCGACGCCCTTCGTCATGGCCGAAAACATCGACGTCACCACTCTCACGCAGGAGCGTTTGAACGATCTGCTGCGACAACTGCACGAAAGCTCCGAGGAAATCGCGGCATTGACGGCAGAACGCTCATCACTGCAAAATGACCTCATGAGAGCACAATCCCAAGCACCTGGCACTCCGATTCAACCTGCACCCTCAACATCACAACACGGGAGTGTGGGGCAACCCGCGAGCGCGGCCAGTGATGGCGTCGTCCGCCCCGACGGAGACGACGACCACGGCACGACACACCCCAGAGCGACGCCTGCGGCCCCAAGTCAGCCTCGCGTCACGATTTCGGCACCAACCCACGATTCGGGACTGCCGTCACCGATGCCGCTGAAACCGCAGCGCCCGCCATGCTTTGACCCGAGTCAACGGGGTGGTCCTACCGTTCAGGCGTGGTTATTCACAATGAATGTTTTCTTCGACGCCAACTACGTCTCGGAGGACTCGGCGAAGATTCGATACGCCGTGTCGTTGCTGCGAGGACCCGCCATGGACTGGTGGCGCGTCATCGTCACGAAGCCGACCGACTACGCGACACTACCGACACGGGAAGGACAAACCGGACCCTGGGCGCCGTCGTATTTCGTGGAGGTGCCCCAGTATCGCACGTGGGACGCGTGGTGCGCAGGTCTGCGCGCTCGATTTGAGCCAATCGCGGCCTCGATCTCGGCGCGACAGAAGCTCCGCACTTGGCGCCAACTCGGTTCCGTCCAGGATTACACGAGCGGATTTCTGGCGCTATGCGAGCAGGTGGGCTACATGCATGAGAGCGAACGCATCGACCGCTACATCGGCGGCCTGAAGCAGGACATCGCTCAGGAAATCCAGCTTCGCGGCGTCACTGAGTTTCAGGAAATTCTCGCTATGGCGGAGAAGCTCGACTTCTTTCGCCGACCGAGACCGGGGTCCTACGGAAACAACACCTGGGGACATCGGCCTCGTGGGACGAACGAGAGCGCCACGATACGCGCCGTCGCCGCAAATGCCGCTGCCGCACCGTTCAAAGGGCGCTGCTTTGCGTGCAATCGGCCGGGACATCGCAAGAGCGAATGCCCGGAAAACGCTAAGGGAAAGGGGGAAGCTGAGCAGCAGACACAGACCAAGCAGCAGGGAAACGCTGGAAGTCAGTAGCAGACGGGCCCTCTACTGACAGGTCACGCCGCTCGCCCGACCCAACCGACCCTCACCGAGTGATTGTGCCGGTTCACGCAATCGACCACACCCGGCCGAATAAGGAGGGTACCACGGTAGATAGCCCTATACTGCTCAGTGGGAAAATTGGGACGGACTTAGTTAAAATCTTCGTAGATGGGGGAGCCAGCCACAGCCTCATTAACACTGCCACAGCACGAAAACTGCGACTGCCACTGGACCGATGCTTACCTGAGATCGACGCACGACTGGTTGACGGCACGCCGCTGGCAATACGGGAACGCGTAGACCGAGTTCGGATTCGATGCGGGGGTAACTTCACGTTTAGTCAGGAAATGCTCGCAACGACCCTCGACGGAACCGACATTTTACTCGGGCGTGATTGGCTGCGACGACACAACCCGCGAATTGACTGGACGACGGGTGACTGCACCGTGCGAGTGAACGGTAACAGCATCGCCTTACCTCGCTGGGGCTCGCCTGAGTCTTCGTCGGTGCGTGTCAACGCGATCACGATGAAACGCGCTGTTGCGGCCGGAGCCGACGTGTACGCGGTTGACATTCGGGAAGCCGAGGCAGCAGACAAGGGAGGCGATTTACAGAAACTGCTGACCGACGTACCGAGTGACCTGGCGGCACTGTTACAACAGTACAGTGACATTTTCCCGGATGACCTGCCGACGGGACTGCCACCTCAGCGACCGCACGATCACAGGATAGAACTGGAACCGGGGGCACAGCCAACAGTACAGCGACAGTTCCGACTGACCCAACCCGAATTAGACGAACTAAGGAAGCAGCTCGATTACCTGCTAGAAAAGGAATTCATTCGCCCTAGTTCGTCGCCTTTCGCCGCACCAATACTGTTCACACCGAAAAAGGACGGGGGTTTTCGCATGTGCATCGACTACAGGGCACTGAACAGGGTTACCATCAAATCCCGTTACCCCATCCCACGAGCCGACGAACTGATCGACCAACTGCGCACAGCCCGGGTTTTCTCGAAAATCGACCTCCGAGGAGGCTACCACCAAATCCGCGTCAACCCACCCGACTGCCCTAAAACCGCATTCCGAACACGCTACGGATCCTTCGAATACACCGTCATGCCATTCGGACTGACCAACGCCCCCGCCACTTTCCAAATGACCATGAACGAAGCATTCCGCCCGCTTTTAGATAAGTGCGTCATCGTTTATCTGGACGACATACTGATTTACAGCCCTGACAGAGCACAGCACTTACAAGACATCGAAGCAGTTTTTAAAATCCTGAGTGAGAACCGCCTACTGACCAAAGCATCTAAGTGTGAGTTTTTACAGGACCGCCTGGAGTTTTTGGGACATGTTATTTCAGCTGCAGGAGTGGAAATAGACCCGAAGAAAATTGCGACGATTCAGGCTTGGCACGCGCCGACCAACTTGACCGAGTTGCAGAGTTTCCTGGGGTTCGTCAACTACGTGCGCCGGTTCGTCCCCGACATGGCGAAACTGACTGCCCCGTTGACTGACCTGCTGAGGAAGGGGGTTGAGTACACGTGGGGGGAGAAAGAGCAAGCTGCCTTCTCGGCCCTCAAAAATATTTTGTGCTCCCCGCCCGTCCTTCACATTGCAGATCCCCACCGTCCGTTCGAGCTCGTCACCGACGCAAGTGACATCGCTGTGGGAGCAGTACTGTTGCAGGATTTCGGGAAGGGCCTCCAGCCAATCGCGTACGAGTCCCGCAAGTTACACCCGCCCGAACGTAACTACCCGATACACGACCGCGAGATGCTAGCGATCGTGCACGCGTTCAAAGTTTGGCGATGTTACCTGACTGGTGCCGACGTGACAGTACGGACAGACCACCGCTCGCTACAGTACCTTCGCGCCCAACCGAATCTCAACCCACGACAGATTCGCTGGTTGGACTATCTCGAGTCCAATTTTCACTACACCGTCACGTACAAAAAAGGAGCATCCAACATCGCCGACGCTCTCACCCGCCCCACCGCCCAACTCCACGCCATCCTACTCGCCCAGACCAACCCGCTTTTAACTGGCCTATTCACCCACGGATACCGCACCGACCCATTTTTCACGACCGGAAATTCACAGCAACTGGCAGAAGCAAAAGGAGTTTATTACGTAAAAACAGGCACCAACCGCATTTGGGTACCCGCGTACTCACTACTGAGGGAGCTGCTACTGCAGGAGGCACACGACGGGATTACCTCGGGACATTTCGGGGTAGAAAAAACACGACAGCAACTGCAGCGGTACTATTACTGGCCGGAGCTGTTGACCGACGTACAGCAGCACGTGGGCTCGTGCCCGACGTGTCAGGTGATGAAGAGTTCAAGGAAGCGGAAGGCGGGTCAATTGCAGCCGATCCCACCGCCCGAACGCGCCTGGCAGCAAGTAACCATGGACTTCGTCACAGGGTTACCTTCGAACCCTGGGGGTAACGACGCGGTGATGGTCGTCGTGGATAGGTTGACGAAGATGGCACACTTCGCTGCGTGCAAAAAGTCGATCTCAGCCGAAGAGACCGCTCGCCTGTTCATCGCAGCCGTTGTTCGCCTGC